CATTACACTTCACAGTTTCATGATTCTAACAGTAACAGTATTTCTGTTATGTACAGAAAGCTTAGCTAGTAACAGTATATCTGTTATCATGTACAGAGAGCTTAGCTAGTAACAGTATTTCTGTTACATGTACAGAGAGCTTAGCTAGTAATAGTATTTCTGTTACATGTACAGAGAGCTTAGCTAGTAACAGTATTTCTGTTACATGTACAGAGAGCTTAGCTAGTAATAGTATTTCTGTTACATGTACAGAGAGCTTAGCTAGTAATAGTATTTCTATTACATGTACAGAGAGCTTAGCTAGTAATAGTATTTCTGTTACATGTACAGAGAGCTTAGCTAGTAATAGTATTTCTGTTATCATGTTCATAGAGCTTAGCTAGTAACAGTATTTCTGTTATCATGTACATAGATCTTAGCTAGTAACAGTATTTCTGTTATCATGTACATAGAGCTTAGCTAGTAACAGTATTTTGTTATCATGTACATAGAGCTTAGCTAGTAACAGTATTTTTATTATCATGTACATAGAGCTTAGCTAGTAACAGTATTTTTGTTATGTACATAGAGCTTAGCTAGTAACAGTATTTCTGTTATCATGTTCATAGAGCTTAGCTAGTAACAGTATTTTTGTATCATGTACATAGAGCTTAGCTAGTAACAGTATTTTTGTTATCATGTACATAGAGCTTAGCTAGTAACAGTATTTTTGTTATCATGTACATAGAGCTTAGCTAGTAACAGTATTTTTGTTATCGTGTACAGAGAGCTTAGCTACAATTAAACAGCACATGACAGGAATGGAAGCGCAGCTGATGGAAAAACAAACTGGATTGTCAGAGCTTAGCCATCAGATGAAGCTGTTAGAGGAACACCAGAAGGAAGAAGCTGTTAACTTTCAAAAGAAGTTAGCATCTTTGGAACAGGAGCTGAACAAAGAGAAGACTATTACTAAAGAACTCAGACGTCAGGTTAGGAGGGCTATGACTTATTGTGCAGTATGACCTAATTTGTCTAAGTATTTATCACTGAAATATTGTAAATTTTTAAAAGCCTAGTATGATATAGTAATGGTTATGAGAATAGTGTTTACTGTATATATCGCCATTAGCATTTGTGGACATAATTAAAGAAACACATGTTGTTTGATTATAATTTTCAATTCTTAGAGTAAATATTTCAAAACTTCTTTCTTAAATCTGTTTTAATAGTGTATGTCATCTTTAGTTTTGGATGTAATTGTGATGTAACAGTGGTTATTCTAAAAGCTTCAAAAACCCATTGTTATAATCATTTTCACAAGAAGGTAGGTTAGTGAGTTTTCATTTTGTATCATTCAAACAACAAATCTACAATTGTTTATCAAATGAAGTAAGATAATACAAAATTACACAGTTAATACACAGTTACCTGAAGTCACTTAACTATTACGTAACAATAATTGATTTTGTACCAAACAGTTACCTGAAGTCACTTAGCTATTACGTAATAATAATTGATTTTGTACAAAATTACTGAACACAGTTACCTGAAGTCACTTAACTATTACGTAACAATAATTGATTTGTACAAATTACCAAACACAGTTACCTGAAGTCACTTAACTATTACGTAACAATAATTGATTTTGTACAAAATTACCAAACACAGTTACCTGAAGTCACTTAACTATTACGTAACAATAATTGATTTTGTACAAAATTACCAAACACAGTTACCTGAAGTCACTTAACTATTACGTAACAATA